ATCTCAAAACAAAACAAAGCAAAACAAAAAGTCAGGAATCAACAGATGCTGGAGAGGATGTGGAGAAATAGGAATGCTTTCACACTGTTGGTGGGAGTGTAAATTAGTTGAACCATTGTGGAAGACAGTGTGGCAATTCCTCAAGGATCTAGAACTAGATATACCATTTGACCCAGTGATCTCATTATTGGGTATATACCCAAAAGATTATAAATCCTTCTACTAAAGACACATGCACATGTATGTTTATTGCAGCACTATTCACAATAGCAAATACTTGGAACCAACCCAAATGCCCATCAGTGATAGATCACATATACACCATGGAATACTATGCAGCCATAAAAAAAGAATGAGTTTGTGTCCTTTGCAGAGACGTGGATGAAACTGGAAACCATCATTCTCAGCAAACTAACACAGGAACAGAAAACCAAACACCACATGTTCTCATAAGTGGGAGTTGAACAATGAGAACACATGGACAAGGGAGAGGGACATCACACACCGGGGCCTGTCGTGGGGTGGGGAGCTGGGGGAGGGATAGCATTAGGAGAAATACCTAATGCAGACGACGGGTTGATGGGTACAGCAAACCACCATGACACTTATATACTTATGTAACAACCCTGCACATGTATCCCAGAACTTAAAGTATAATAATAAAAATTAAAGATTTAATACAATTTAAAAAAACAGAGACTTGGTAATTTATAAAGAAAAGAGGTCTAATTGGCTCATGGTTCTACAGGTTCCACGGGATGCACAGCTCTGGCGTCACCTTCTGGGGAGGCCTCAGGAAGCTAAAAATCATGGTGGAAGGCAAAGCGGGAGCAGGCACTTCACAGGATGAAAGCAGGAGAAAGAGAGAGTGGCGGGGAGGGGCCACACACTTTTAAATGGCCAGATCTTGCAAGAACTCTCTCACTATTGCAAAGAGAGCACCAAGCCATGGGGGATCCCACCATGGCCCAAACACCTCCCGCCAGGCCCCATCTGTAGCACTGAGGATTATAATTCGACATAAGATTTGAGTGTGGACAAATATCCAAATTATATCAGAAATACAGGCTTTCCATCCAGGCTTGATGGGTGGGGAGGGAGTGGGGCCACAGGTTTTTCTGCAGTATTTAGCCAGAGTAACACAGTTATTGTCTAAAAACTTTTTGGCTTGCTAGGCTGCCCCTTTCCTGATCTTTTGGCTAAAGAGCAGGCTTTTGTTGCAGCTTTTTCCAGCTGTAACCATTGGCATTCCTGTGTATGTTACTAGCTTCTTTAGCTACAAGTCTGGGAGAAATTAGGAAAAAAGAAAAGTCAGAGAATTCACCACCAGGTCATTCCTTGTGCCCCAAAGTCCCTAGATGTGCTGTCTTCTGCTATTCATGTTTTGGAGTCTTCTGATATTTGTTTTATATACAATATTCGGGGTTTATAGTTAGTTTTACTAAGCAGGAAGAATAGAGAAAAAGGATATCTATTTCATCTTCCCTGAGGCAAACATAAGCATAAGTTTTATGACATAACTTTTTTGTAGACTGTATATTATTTGCTTATAGGAGACTTGGACTATGAATTCTCTCTTATCTAGGTCACGTTAAGCCATTTTCCTTTTGAGCTGTATGATCAGAAACAACTATTCATGACAGAAGCAAGGACCACCTGGATACTTCATCCTCCAATTAACATCTAGAAAGTGGTCTGTGAATCCCAGCCTCGTGTAATTCGAATATATCTTTGTGACTGATACTATTGAATGTCTTAGCAAAACAAGCAAACATTCATAACATTTCTACTTCTCCTGCCAAGGTATATGCATACTGTTTAGGTCAGTGTTTCTCAATTGGATAAAAGAGGTTGGCACGATTTTGCTCCCGCCTCAAGGGTTCATCTGGCAACATCTGGAGACATTTTTTATTGTTATGACTTGGGAGATGCTGCTAGTATCTAGTGTGCAGAAGCCATGGATCCCTTGAAACATCCTACAATTCACGGGACAGTCACCCTTAATGAAAAATTAAGTGGCCCAAAATGTCAAGAGTGCCAATGTTGAGAAATCCTGGTTTAGATGTCTGACATTTGACAGCTAAGTTTAACCCTCCGTATTCTTTGCAACTCCAGGCCCACGTAACTATGGACCTCTAAGTGCTGCATGTGGAATGTCCTTTAACAAGTTCTCAACAAAGACAGTCCAGCCTGCCAAGATCATCTTACCTCTCAGCTTCCCTCTAGGGATTGCTATGTGGCTGCAAGTTATGATTTCTAAAGGGAAGAACCATGTTCCTTGTTTTTCCTGGAAAGAACATCATTAACATAAGCCCCAAACATTTAAAACAAACATTCTTATTCTAATCTTAAGAATTTTTTCAAATCATAATTTGGATACCACTTTTACACTTGCATACTAACATCTTTTTTTTTTTTTTAACAAAGTCTCGCTGTTGTGTCCCAGGCTGGAGTGCAATGGCATGATCTTGGCTCACTGCAACCTCCACCTCCCAGGTTCATGGGATTCTCCTGCCTCAGCCTCCCAAGTAGCTGGGATTACAGGCGCCTGCCACCACGCCCAGCTAATTTTTTCATTTTTAGTAGAGATGGGGTTTCACCATGTTGGCCAGGCTGGTCTTGAACTCCTGACCTCAGGTGATCCACCCGCCTCAGCCT